ATTGGGTGGGTGTTGTCGGTATTCAACAGATGTTCGGGCTCACTGGTGGCACCTGGCTACACTCACCGTTGAATACAGGTTATCACGTGTCATATTTTTGGGATGCAGCCGGTGCTGTTTGTCTGCACGAGGAAGATCTGCCGAGTACCCTGATCCTTCACGGTCGTTCATCGCTCTTTTTCCCCCCCATATTCATGTGGCACTCGTTGTTTATCGGGTAGGGGCGATACCGACGACACCCAGATAGGGCAAGTCACGCATATTCCGTCTGTCTCGTGTGTGGGGTACCTCAACCGCCATCCTTTCTCTCTATCTCGCCCCCGCTCGTTGTTGTTTCTGTGCAGGTGCAAAGTGGAGAGGGTTAGGAAACAGAAGAAAGGGACAGCAGCGACTCAGGGGGGTGTGCAGCGGAGTGCGAGCTCGAGGATAGCCCATCGCAAGACACCAACGGATGCGTTCAGACTCCCGCGCGCTGCGAGTGACGGCGAATCTCACGTCTTCTCGGTGTCAACTACGACAGGAAAGTATCGTGTGATCGTCATCATCCGATTTGAACAAGTACACAGCAAGACCACACCTATCATCAGCTGTACGGGGAAAGCATGCAAATCGTGAGTGGTTCGATAGGCTCATGTATGGTGCATTTTTTTTTGGTGAACACTTTTGTCATCGATCATGGAGATTGCTTCTGGGGCTCCACGGGTGTACTGGGGCTCACGGGTGTACCTTGAAAGGTTATTGAATGTCGTTGCCACCCAAAACAAAAATCAGAGGTCGGTTGGTGCAGTAATGACGAACTTGAACCTTTAGTCTCCGACAGATCTACATAGCTTGTTTGAGCACAAGGGTGAGCGTGGGTATTTGGAGATTTCGCGGAATGCTATGCGAGTTAAATATTCACCCCTAAGAGTCCTGGCGCCGTCCGAGAGGTACTAGGCAATATCGAAATCGTTCTGGGGTTCGGCGTGGTATCGTTGCATGCTACGTCACGCAGGGTCGGCGGTGCAACACGGCAGGCTCTTCTAGACGGGGAAGACACCGCTGCGATGGCGAGTGTGAGCACGCTGACGTCGTCCTCCAAGACGGCCCTATCATTGCGGACAATATCCCGGCAGCTGAGCACGTGACCTTCGACCCTCCAGGGGTAGTTGAGCAGGCCAAAGCAGTAGCAGCGAGCGGCCATATGGGTACCAAGGACGCGAGGGAGATGAAAACTTTAGCCGACGCTGCTACCAGCTCTGGCGTGCCGCTCGTGGTTCGCCTGGGAAACACGGAACGTTTGCGGTGGGTGCGCCACGTTAGCCGATTTGTGCCTGGTAGCTGGGCGCACGTGCAGCCTACAGATATCGCTCGCCCGGCAGGATCCAGCCCGCAACAATCAGCCCGAAGGAGCACGGAAAATGTCAAGATCCAATCCAAGGTGGATGTCGCTATTGTGGATTCCGCATTTTGTGTGGTACCCTGCCGGGTACTCCAAGTATATTGCAAGTAACATGTGTCGAAATAGCAGCCTAATCAAGAGCACACAACAAAAGATCCGACATCGTACCCTCCCCCCCCCTCCCCGAAGGTCAGAAAAATATATAATTTGTCTTCGTTCGATGTTGACGGTTCAAGAGCCGATCGAAGTAAGACGCGTAGAGAGGAAAACTCTCATGCGCTTTCCGAGACTTTGGGTACACATTATAGGTGGTGGTGTGACGAACTCGACAGACTATCTGTGAGGGTTTCAGGGGGGTCGCAGAAGCGTGTTCTCGTCCGCGTGCCTCCTCCCTTTGAGAGAGAGGTCCAGAATAAAGTTGCGGGTGTTAGATGTTGTCAATGGTGCATTGACCGGCGTGTTGCCTTTGATTTATCCGGAAACATGCAGGCAAATAGTGGAGCTGCATGCAGCGTGGCGCACTCCAAGCCGGAAGGACAGAAGAAATGCCAACACACCTTGCTTGGTGGTCGGGCTTGGCGTTTTGGTCGATTATTTCAAGAACAGCATGGGTGTGGATGGTGGCGGGAATGGGGAGGGGGGGAGCGCAAAAGACGAGCATTTCTCGGAAAATGAAGCAGCTGATGAAGGTCATCGGTGTCTTGAGGTGTGTTGAGGTTCCCCGTCAACCCCAAGCACCATCTATCAGCAAGAGCCCGCCAGATTATGGTCGAGGGCAGCGACATCCCCTGTCACGAGAACGTTTGCGCAGCTTGCCTTCGGGGCTACGTCGTTTTGGACAGACAAAAAGCGATAGCTGTAAGACAGGTGCGCCATTTTGTTTCGTAGTGTGCGCGGGGCATTTGATAGGGTGGACGGCAGTTCGAAGCAGGTTAATAGGCAGTCGGGTAACGCATACCAGTAGTGCGAAAGATTTGCGCACTTCCAAAATCCTATGTCAAGTAGGTCTCATGTTCCAACCGCAAGAGCCACATAATATAGTGAAGGAACTGATGTACAACAGATTGGGGGCTATTTCTGTGCAAATTCGCTGTCATGCGAATGATGCTTGCGTGTCAGAATTGAGCAAAGAGTGTGGGACTTGACTTTGGCTTTGCAATTGCGACCCTAATCTTGTCTCTCAGGACAAGTACATTGTGGACATAGTTATCGAGAAGAAGGGGTGTACATTTTGCCGCAACGTGCGAGGGGTGCC